CTTCGCCGGTCGACCCCTTTATCCAACTTTCCATCACTAGTAAATACAGTTCCGAGGTATTTGAACTTCTCCACCTCCTCCACCACCTCTCCGTTAGTCTGACGAGAGCAACGGGCAGGAGAACAAGAAAGCACTAGGCTTTTCGTTTTAGGTGCGTTCACACGCATGCCAGTCACGTCGCAGTCGGCTGCGAACCTTTCTAAGCAGCACTGGAAATCAGTTTCAGAAGATGCTAATAAAACAAGGTCGTCTGCAAACAGATACCTTCTCGACTTCACTTCTCCTACACCGATACCCTCATCGCCTTGGCAGCTTCTGACTATTCTATCAATGTACGACACAAACACGATAGGAGACAGGACGCAGCCGTGGCGGAGACCAGTTCGAACGTTGAATGGTTTTGACTTAACGCCATTAACTCCGACGCAGCGCCTGCCAGCAGAATACAGTGATCGGTTGGCCCTTAGCAGCTGGCCATCAATCCCGTATGGACGTAGGAATGTCCACACACTGTTGCGTGGGATCGGGTCATATGCTTTCTCTAAGTCCACAAAACACATGTACACCGGCTGGGCGTACTCCCACGATTTATCAACAATCTGACTCAGGGCAAATATATGGTAGAGGTGCTTCGACCAGGCCAGAAGCCACACTGCTCTTCTTTAATCTTGAGGTCAATTATTTCACGGCATCGCCTTTCTAACACCTTTTCGTAGACTTTACCTGGGAGGCTCAATAACGTTATGCCCCTATAATTGGAGCATTCGCTGTGGTCTCCCTTCTTGAATACGGGTACAATAACTCCCGTTCTCCACTGCGTTGGTGTCTTTCCCACAGTCATCGCAATTTGACAGACACGTGTTAGTCAGCACATGCTTTGTTCTCCTAATGCCCTGAGCATCTCAGGGCGGATTTCGAAAATTCCAGCAGGTTTTCCATTTTTCAAGCCTTTCACAGCTTGTGCAATTTCATCTATAGAGATAGTAATATCCGTACTCTTCTGCTCTACAGGCGAGTCTTCCTGCGGTTAGTCAGAGTTAAGCAGTTCCTCAAAGTACTCCCTCCATCGCCGAAGGATCTCATAATCCTTGGTAAGAGGGTGTCCAGATCCGTCCTTCAGAAACTCTGAGACTGCCCGTCTTTTCACCTCGGAGCCGGCGGATGGTATGCCAGAATACTTTGTTTGCCATGCGGAAATTCGACTCCAACACCTCACTAAACTTCTCCGAGAGATCATCCTTGGCTTTTGCTACTGCTATGGCTGCCGCCTTGCGTACCTCGACATATCGTACGCGAGTAGAAGGCTCCTTGTTTCCAAGCCATTTCTTGAACGCTGCTTTCTTTTCTTTAACTGCCAGTTGTACCCCTCGTGTCCACCATGAAGATCCTCTGATTTCTGACCTCCAAGCGACAGGCCAACTCGTTTATGTCCGCAGCATTCGGCGGCAGCCTTGCGCATGCCGCACTTAAAGAGCTGCCACTCGGTTTCAAGCTATCAGTTGTCATCAGTGGGATCTGTTGAAACCGTCAGCTACTTTGTTTCCAAATTTCGCTCTCGTGTCCAGTGAAGATGATGTTTTCCATTTCATTCTCCGGTTGGTTCTGCCACCAGATTTCTGTACGGTACTCCATTTCTCAGAGCGCCGCGTGCCAACGACAATGTAATATTCTGTTGATAGCTCTGCACCTCTTTTAACACGAACATCCATTGCTGAGCGTCTTAGGTCAGAGGATACGATTATCCAATCGATCATCGACTTCTGTGCACAAGCTTCCCCGTACCAGGTGTACTGAAGCGCTTTTCGATTCTTAAAGAAGGTGTTCATAATGGACAATCCGTTGTTTGCACAAAACCGCAACAACTTCGTGCCGTTATTGTTGAGGTCGCTAGGGCCGTTTTTCCCAATCACGCCGTTCCAGTTTTCTGCGTCTACTCCGACTTGCGCAATAAAATCGCCGATCAGTATGAGGGACTCTGTATTCGGCACTTTGATCAGGGTACATTGCACTTCCTCAAGGAAGGTCTCATATTTTCCCTCCAAAATGAGCGCAAAGACTTGTACCAAGGTCATCGATTTAGCATGTTGTAGCTTCAGTCGGAGGATTACCACCCTTCCGCTGATAGGCT